TGTAACACTGGATAAAAAGCACCTTGAAGAAAAAGGTAGGAGGAGGGAGCCAGAAGAGAAAGAAGAGGAGAGAGACAGAGAGAGGGAAGGAGGGAAGGGGATTTCCAAGTAATAGTGAAAGTAAAGGTGAGTCACTCTCCGCGGGGGTTTGGCAGCGTGAGGGGGTAGAGGAGGGAGGAGGAGGAGGAGGAGGAGGAGGGGGTGAGGAGGGCACAGGGTAGAGTCATGCCACTCAGCGGTGGGAACCCATGTGAACCTCTCTTTGTGTGTGTGTTGCTTGTGCGTGTAATTGCGTTTAAAGCAGGTACGTGTTATGTATGTGTATACGTATGTATGTATACATGTATGAATGTATGAAAGTAAGAATGTATGTTTATACACACATTCGTATGTAATGAGTTTATATACACGTAAGTACGCACAGTACATGCGAGGATATAATATAGATATGAAGTTAGTACATACCCTGTGTACAACCGCATTACACACCTACAACATGTAAACTTACGCCACAGGATAGAAACCCAAGCAAACCCAACCCAGAATGTATGGAAAAGAAAGTGTTTTCCTGTGACTCCACCCTTCACGATGTCCTCAAAGAAAACTAGGTAAAGAATGTGCCTTTGGGAAATATCCGGCGCCAGAGATTCCCTTTCAAATAGCGTTCGTGTGTCACTCTCTGTAAGCTGTTTATGTTGCTATAATCGTTAGTTTGATTATTTTTAGCAATGGTGGAAATGATGATTGTGGTGATGATAAGAATAATGTAGAAGATGACAACAATAGCGGGATATCATGACATATTGTAACTCTCTCTCTCTCTCTCTCTCTCTCTCTCTCTCTCTCTCTCTCTCTCTCTCTCTCTCTCTCTCTCTCTCTCTCTCTCTCTCTCTCTCTCTCTCTCTCTCTCTCTCTCTCTCTCTCTCTCTCTCTCTCTCTCTCTCTCTCTCTCTCTCTCTCTCTCTCTCTCTCTCTCTCTCTCTCTCTCTCTCTCTCTCTCTCTCTCTCTCTCTCTCTCTCTCTCTCTCTCTCTCTCTCTCTCTCTCTCTCTCTCTCTCTCTCTCTCTCTCTCTCTCTCTCTCTCTCTCTCTCTCTCTCTCTCTCTCTCTCTCTCTCTCTCTCTCTCTCTCTCTCTCTCTCTCTCTCTCTCTCTCTCTCTCTCTCTCTCTCTCTCTCTCTCTCTCTCTCTCTCTCTCTCTCTCTCTCTCTCTCTCTCTCTCTCTCTCTCTCTCTCTCTCTCTCTCTCTCTCTCTCTCTCTCTCTCTCTCTCTCTCTCTCTCTCTCTCTCTCTCTCTCTCTCTCTCTCTCTCTCTCTCTCTCTCTCTCTCTCTCTCTCTCTCTCTCTCTCTCTCTCTCTCTCTCTCTCTCTCTCTCTCTCTCTCTCTCTCTCTCTCTCTCTCTCTCTCTCTCTCTCTCTCTCTCTCTCTCTCTCTCTCTCTCTCTCTCTCTCTCTCTCTCTCTCTCTCTCTCTCTCTCTCTCTCTCTCTCTCTCTCTCTCTCTCTCTCTCTCTCTCTCTCTCTCTCTCTCTCTCTCTCTCTCTCTCTCTCTCTCTCTCTCTCTCTCTCTCTCTCTCTCTCTCTCTCTCTCTCTCTCTCTCTCTCTCTCTCTCTCTCTCTCTCTCTCTCTCTCTCTCTCTCTCTCTCTCTCTCTCTCTCTCTCTCTCTCTCTCTCTCTCTCTCTCTCTCTCTCTCTCTCTCTCTCTCTCTCTCTCTCTCTCTCTCTCTCTCTCTCTCTCTCTCTCTCTCTCTCTCTCTCTCTCTCTCTCTCTCTCTCTCTCTCTCTCTCTCTCTCTCTCTCTCTCTCTCTCTCTCTCTCTCTCTCTCTCTCTCTCTCTCTCTCTCTCTCTCTCTCTCTCTCTCTCTCTCTCTCTCTCTCTCTCTCTCTCTCTCTCTCTCTCTCTCTCTCTCTCTCTCTCTCTCTCTCTCTCTCTCTCTCTCTCTCTCTCTCTCTCTCTCTCTCTCTCTCTCTCTCTCTCTCTCTCTCTCTCTCTCTCTCTCTCTCTCTCTCTCTCTCTCTCTCTCTCTCTCTCTCTCTCTCTCTCTCTCTCTCTCTCTCTCTCTCTCTCTCTCTCTCTCTCTCTCTCTCTCTCTCTCTCTCTCTCTCTCTCTCTCTCTCTCTCTCTCTCTCTCTCTCTCTCTCTCTCTCTCTCTCTCTCTCTCTCTCTCTCTCTCTCTCTCTCTCTCTCTCTCTCTCTCTCTCTCTCTCTCTCTCTCTCTCTCTCTCTCTCTCTCTCTCTCTCTCTCTCTCTCTCTCTCTCTCTCTCTCTCTCTCTCTCTCTCTCTCTCTCTCTCTCTCTCTCTCTCTCTCTCTCTCTCTCTCTCTCTCTCTCTCTCTCTCTCTCTCTCTCTCTCTCTCTCTCTCTCTCTCTCTCTCTCTCTCTCTCTCTCTCTCTCTCTCTCTCTCTCTCTCTCTCTCTCTCTCTCTCTCTCTCTCTCTCTCTCTCTCTCTCTCTCTCTCTCTCTCTCTCTCTCTCTCTCTCTCTCTCTCTCTCTCTCTCTCTCTCTCTCTCTCTCTCTCTCTCTCTCTCTCTCTCTCTCTCTCTCTCTCTCTCTCTCTCTCTCTCTCTCTCTCTCTCTCTCTCTCTCTCTCTCTCTCTCTCTCTCTCTCTCTCTCTCTCTCTCTCTCTCTCTCTCTCTCTCTCTCTCTCTCTCTCTCTCTCTCTCTCTCTCTCTCTCTCTCTCTCTCTCTCTCTCTCTCTCTCTCTCTCTCTCTCTCTCTCTCTCTCTCTCTCTCTCTCTCTCTCTCTCTCTCTCTCTCTCTCTCTCTCTCTCTCTCTTATTATTTTCATCGTTAGTATTAACATCGTTATCATCATCATTACCCTTATCATTGCCTCAATTGCCATTGTTTTAGTTTGTTTCTTACACATATTAGTGATGTAAATTCCATATCATCTATAATTATCATTATTATATGTTTATTGCGTGTTCAATATACTCTGATACTGTCAAATAAATAAAGATTATAGCCTCGGCCATTATCACCATTATTATATTTCAGTTTCTAAAAAAATGTTTTAAACATTATAATCCCCGTTATACTTTCATTTTTCTTAACATTGTCATCACCGTTATATTGCTTTTAAAAACAAAGATAAATATTGTTATCCTATTTCTCTCGTTTCTATGTCAGATTCTTACTCCACAATGCTTGAAGGATGATACCTTATACTAAGCCCTACTAACATACATGCACTATCATTACACAATCGTAATTACATTGTTGTACATAGAACACTGAACGCTGAAACGGAAAACCAATTAAATACAAACAGACGTAACAGAGAAAGTCGTTTTTAAGATGAGTCGAAATGGTGTGGTTTTGCGTCGTTATTGTTAGCAAAAAAAATAAATAGACTGAAAATAGTACTACAACACTTTCATGAATGGGCTTACTCGAGTATGTAAAGACGTGAGCGTGGCGAGGAGTTGGAGGAGGAGGAGAGGGAACAGGAAGGGAGGAGGAGAGGAGGAGAGGAAGGGGATGGGATAGAAGAAAGAGGGGGGAATGGAAGGAGAGAGGAGAGGAACAACAGGGAAAAGATTGGAAGAGAGAGAGAGAGAGAGGAGAAGAGGAGGAGGAGGGGCTCGGGTGAAGATGTGTGGGTGCAGGAGCATCTACTTTCTCTCTCGCGTGATGCAACCGAGGCACTGACACAGGCGGACACCGTTAGCCGCGCCTCGAGCCGGAGACCCGAGGGTGACGAGCCGGTCGATCGGCTGCCACTCTACTTCCGGTCGAATCTGGAAGTGGCTTGCTTTTGCTTTTTCTCCTGTAGCCAGTTTTACGCTTACTGGTTTGTTAATCAGATGTTATATATATATATATATATATATATATATATATATATATATATATATATATATATATATATGTATATACAATACTATGTGCATCTATGGAGATAAACACGCACACATGTTGATATCTGTCTCTCTCTCTCTGCCCCCCACCCCCCTCTCTCCCTTTCTTTGCCCCCCCCCCCTCCTCTCTCTCTCACTCTCGCTCCTCCCCCCCTACCCCCTGCTCTCTCCCTTTGCCCCCACCTCTCTCTCTCCCCTCTCTCTCTATCCCCCCCCCCTCTCTCTCTTTCTCTGTCTCTGTCTGTCAGTGTGTCTGTCTGTCTGTCTCTCTTTCTCTCTCTCTATCTGTTTGTTTATCTGCTTTTCTGCCGATTTATCTGCCTGTCTCTCTATATCTATCGCTTCATTTATATTAATATCTGGATATCTATCTTTACATTATTAGATAAATAAATACCACCCCTTACACAAATATATACAAATAGATAAATAGACACACACACAAACACACACACACATATATATATATATAAGGTAGAAAAAAACACAATGCACAAACTAGTGTTTTATCATCCATGTTGATATATACATATTCATATATATATATATATATATATATATATATATATATATATATATATATATATATATATATATATATATATATGTATATATATATTCATACATGTAAATTAATATATATATATATATATATATATATATATATATATATATATATATATATATATATCTGTGTGTGTGTGTGTGTGTGTGTGTGTGTGTGTGTGTGTGCATATATATATATATATATATATATATATATATATATATATATATATATATATATATATATATTTTTTTTTTTTTTTTTTTTTTTTTTTTTTTTTTTTTCAGGACAAATCCATCTAACTTATCTAAATATTAGAGTTTTTGACATTTTCACGACGTGTCAACAAACCACGGAAGCACCAAGACATAGTTCTCTAGAACAAAAACAACTTCATTAATGACATCCGGAAACACTCTCAGTTTTAATTGCAAACATCCTTTCGACCTTGGCTCACTCTACTGTCGACACCTTTACTTTGACAACTCCTTATTAACACCAAAAGGGAGAAATGCGTCGTCTCTTTCAGTCAAATTGTTCTTTAGACCTTCAGGAGGCAACCAGTTCAAAGACCCGGATGAGGATTTCC